TACATAAGTCCAAAAAGCATATGAAGAAAGTGCTCAGCCCAGCAGGTGTGGCTCAGCGGTTGAGTGTCGATCTAGGATCCAGGCGATCAGGGTTCGAGTCCTGGTCAGGGCACATGCCCAGGTTGTGGGCTCGATCCCCAGCAGGGGGCGTGCTGGAGGCAGCTGATCGATGACTCTCATCATTGATGTTTCTATCTCTCCCTCTCCCTTCCTCTCTCTGAAATCAACAAAAATATATATTTTTTAAAAAGTGCTCAACTTCCCTAATTATTAGAGGGATACAAGTCAAATCCATAACAAGGTCACCTCACACCCATTAGAATTGTTCATTTTTTTTTTAAGTGTTGCTGAGGGTATGGAGAAATTGGAACCCTCGGGCACTGCCGGTGGGAATGTGAAATGGTGCAGCCGCTATGAAAACAGTAGGAAGGCTCCTCAAAAAATTTAAATGGAACTACCATATGATCCAGCAGTCAAATCTCACTGTGGTTATTATATATGCAAAAGAACTGAAAGCGGGATCTCAGACAGATCTCTCCACACCCAGGCTCATTGCCGCACTATTCACAATAGCCAAGAGGTGGAAGCAACCCAAGTGCCCACTAATGGATGAACAGATAGAGAAAATGTGGTCCATACATACATACAATGAAATATTATTCTGCTTTATAATAGAGGAAATTCTGTCACATGCTACAACATGGATGAACATTAGGGACATTCTGCTGTGTGAAATAAGCCAGTCACAAAAAGACAAATACTGTCTGATTCCACACACGAGGCATCTAATGTAGTCAAAACTCATAGAAATAGAAAGTAGAGTGGTGGCTGCCAGGAGCTAGGGGGAGGAGAGATGGGGCGATGTTGTTCAATGTGTGAAGAGTTTCAGTTTTGCAAGATAAAAAAGTCCTGGCGACGTGTGGTGCAACAAAGGTAAATCTACTTAACACTATGGTACAGTGCACTTAAAAGTGGTGAAGGTGGTAAATTTTATGTTATATGCATTTTCAACTACAATAACTTTTTTAATTTCATTAAAAATTAATAATATTAAGTCTTCCAATCTATGAACATGGATAGCTTCCTATTTATTTAGATTTTCTTTCAACAAGTTTGTAGCTTTTCGTGTACAAGTCTTGAAACACTTAAGTCAAATATATTCCTGAATCTTTCATTCTGTTTGATGTGATTTACATGGAATTGTTTTCTTAGTTTCTTATTTGGATTGACTGCTCTTATATATAAATATCACTGGTTTTTGTGCATTCACCTTGTATCCTGAAACTCTGCTGAACTTGTTTATTAGCTCTAATAGTTGGCTATTTTTGTCAATTGTTTAGGATTTTTCTGTACGCAAGATCATGTCACCTACAAACAAAGGTGATGATTTACACCCTCCTTTCCATTTTGGAAACACACAAACTACCAAATCTGACTCAAGAAGAAATATGAAGTTGAACCAACTTATAACTAGTAAGAGTATTAAATCCGTAATGTCACGTTAAAGAAAAGCCCAGGACCAGGTAACTTTATTGGTGAATTCCGCTAACCATTTAAAGAAGAATTAATACCAGTCCTCTGACTCTTCCAAAAAAATTGAAGATGAAGAAATACTTCAGTCACTCTGAGGCCAGCATTTCCCTTACACCAAAGCCAAAGAAATCACTTGAAGATTTCTTACCTTTATGATGTGTGATAACATAAAAGCGTTGGTTATCATGTGAAATGATTGCTCTGCCTCAAGCTTTTAGGTATTTTCATGCATGTCTTTCCTATTAGACTTCGGACTCCTTAAGGAGTGAAATGCATGTTTGCTCACGGCTGTAGGCCCCATGACACCCAAAAAAGTACCTCACACTCATTAGATATTGAGTAAGTCTCTACTGAATCAATAAATTAGCTCATGAATAAATAATGTATTAGCATTTTTTAAAATCACTTGAAAAGCAAGCTGCAGGCCACCAGCCCAGTATCTATTTGTGAAAGAGACTGGAGAGCTGGGGGAGGCTGGGGCAGCCTGGAGCCCCGCTCACCCCCCAGGGAAAGCAAGTGGTTTGCTGTTTCAACATTGTTGCGATAAAGAAAAAACAAAAAAAGGCAGCACCTCCCTTCAACATGTCTAAACCAACTCACGATTTACCCTTCAAGCCCCAAACCTGGTGCTTGTCGGGCATTCCCTGTGCCAGCTAATGACACGATCGGCGCAGAAGTCACCCTTGACATCTCCCCCTCTCTCGCCACAGGAACGGTCAAGCACCTACCTGGATGGCCATCAAAAGTTTATTACCATTGGGGAGAAAAAGGGACATCTGTAATATTTTAAACAATAATAAAATTTAAAAAATAAAAAAAATAAAAAATAAAAAAGTTTATTACACGCGTGTTTTTATTCAACAGACGCTCGATGGGCCCTCGGTCCTTCACAGAAGCACGCACCGGCGCCCGCCCTGCGCCAGACCTTGAGCCACGCGTGGGGACACGGTGGCGAGTGAAACCGACCCAGGCCTCGCCTCAGTGAGCCCACAGGCCCGCGGGAGGCACTAAAGGAGTCAACCCACAAATGACTATCAAATTACAAACTGTGACTGGCAGATGCTCTTCCTAAAGACTGGCGAGACAGAGCACGGCACTTTTATGGAACGAAAAGAAATCTTGTGTGCCCAGAGTGAAAAATGTAAAGGGTGAGCTCTGAGGTTATGAAAGTCCTCGTGTGTTATTCTTAAGGACTTGGGTTTTAGGGTAATAAGAAGCCACCAAGGGATTTCAAGCGGGGAAGTGACATGATCAGATTTTCCTAAAGCATAAATCTGGTCATATAATCATTCAGGAATTAACTCTGTCAGAGGTGATTGACCTTCTCTGTCTAATATATTCCTCTTTTTAACAATAGGGGGAAGATCCCTTCCCTATGAAAGCAATGACTGTAATTAGTGCTGGCTGAGACGGAAGCTGGTCCCCCTGGAGGCACATGCCATTTACAAGTCTAGCCTGAGTGATGCTACACTAGATAAAACACAGTTTGTTCTTACATTCGCTCGTTTTTCACAGCAACTTGATGTCACATATCTCTGTAGCTACTGAACTCCTGTTGCTAGGGAGATATCTGCCCAGGTCCCACCGTGGGCCTCTTTCTGACATCTGGGTCATTTCTAACGTTTCAGTGTCCCATTCTGGTCCGCGTGCCACTCTGAAACACTCTGCTCAGTTCCTTGTGTCAAAGCTGATACGCTGATTACAGTGTGTTCAGACCCTGCAAGTTCTCCTGGTTCCCTCTTTGAAGAAAAGATTTCAGCTGTTTCCGTAACTCTGGCCCTTCCGGAGGCGATCATTCGTTCTACTCTCACATAAAATCCAGCGCCACTCTAATAGACGCCTACTATAAAATGTCACTTCAAAATGGCTCTGAAATTGCCAAGAGATGAACGTGGTATCTGGGTTGCGAAGGCTGAGGTATCTCAGTAGAGAAATAGTTACCTCTGGCTGCTATGCAGCTTCCTGGCAGCTGCCCCCCCGCCCCCCAAACTCAGGGCTTGTTTCCACCCCCCACTATCAACATCTCTTGGCAGCAACATCTGGCGTCAAATGTGTCCCCTTGCTCCATCACCAGAGTTTGCCATGTGGTGATTTCAAGCCTGTTTAAATGTAGGTTCCACATCCAGGGACATGTAATGGGAGCCCGAGATCTAAGGGAATGGTCGTAGACTTCAACAATCCAGAATTCGACATCGAATGCTAAACCTTTTAAGATCTTTCATATTTTGAAATTTGTCAAGTGGGTTAACCTCCCTCCACCCAAAACCCTCTCCCCTCCCCTGCCCTAGAAGTGGGGATAGGCGAGTGAGAAGGCGCCCACGGAGGCAGGGAGAACGGGAGAAAAAATAAAATTTAAAGGAAAAAAGGGAAATTAAGAACCAATCCTACTTTTCTTTCAGGATTAGACCTTCACTGAAAACAATGTCTCCCAAAGTATGGTCATCCCACGACCATTTTTCAGAATGTCTTGGGGACCTATTATAAACGCAATTACCAGGACCCCAGCCCAGAGCCACTGAGTGTGTGGGAATGGAGGCCCCACTCTGAGTTTCAACCAAGCAAGTTAAAGGTTTAAAACAACTGGTGCGAACGGCCTCTGTGGTTGTTAGATCTTTATAAAGCACTCTGCCTCATTGCTCATGTTCTCTTCTTGATTTTCACAAGCGGTACTTACTTCTCAAACAAAGTGATTAGTTTAAAGCCGATAACTTTATTAGTTTACTGAGTCACTGCTATAAACCTTCAAAGGTACAGGATGAGAGGACTCCTTGCCCGTGTGAAGTCAGTCGCCCAGTGAAGGACACACACTGGCCCACGTGAAGTCTTGCAGCGTGTGGGCGGTGCACTGGCACAGCGTCTACGGCCTCAGAAAGCAAGGCTGGCGGTGAGCAGACCAGGCGGGCAGTGGGTGCCTCCGCCGGAGCCCAGGGGCCTTAACAGGAGTTTGGAAAGAGGGAGGGGAACTGGGGAGCCGCCCGGGGTGCAGAACAAGCTCTGGGAGGAAGGCAAAAGGACCGGGCCGCACTTCCAGTTGGGCAACTGTGTGACACTGGGGGAGTCTTGCAATTTTCCCTTGAGTCTGTTTTCTCGCTGCATAATCTGTTATTTCTTTGTTTCCTTATGCTCCCGCCTCATCTGAGAAAGGATTTAAGGCAGAGGAGATGCCCGAGTTTCTTCTGGCACTAACAGTCACTGATTCTAAACGCATCCAAGTTTCCTTCTGGAACAAACGTGCGCCAACTCCACAGCCCAAAACTTCTCACAACCAGGGAGCGCAACTACAGAAAACAGTACTAAACGCCAGCTGGAATCTACTGGTGCCCACAGGCGATCACTCTGAGTACACGTATCTCACAGCTGTAAGATTACAGCGCTAAGGCCCATGTTCTAAGGCTGAGTATATTGTCTAGAATTTCCCTGGTGGGTTCTGCCCGGGACAGGCCCCGGGTAGGACCACAGGCACCCGATCAGAGACTTGCATGTGTTTGATGCAATGATATTCTGCCCTGCAGTTTTTTCAAAGCATCTTTGACCTCCTTGTTTCTTAAACTGTAAATTATGGGGTTCAACATAGGGGTAAGCACACCATAGAGCAAAGAGATGATTTTATCAATTTCTTGCGAGCTTGACGAAGAAGGCCTCAGGTACATGGAGAGGGCAGCCCCGTAATACAAGATCACCACAGTCAGGTGGGCACCACAGGTAGAAAAGGCTTTGTTTCTGCCCTCTGCTGAGCTGATCCCCAAAATAGTGGACAGGATGAAGACGTAAGAGATGCAAATTAACAACATCGGAAGGGGCAGCAGGAGCACGCTGACCACCAGCATGACCACGTCCATGAGCAGGGAGCTCCTGCAGGCCAACCTCAGCACCGCCAGGATTTCACACGTGAAGTGATTGATGCGATTCCCGCACAGGGGCATCCGCAGAGCAAAAGTGGTTTCCAGCAGGGCGGTCAGGCAGCCTGTCACCCAGGAGACAGCGGCCATCTGCACACAGACCTGCCTGTTCATGACGACGGGATACCTCAGCGGGTTGCAGATGGCCACGTAACGGTCGTAGGCCATCACAGCCAGGAGCACACACTCCGTGGAGCCCATGGCAAGGGACAGATACATCTGTACGGCACACCCAGAAAAGACAATGGTTTTCTGGGATGACAGCAGGTTCACCAGCAAAGTGGGAATAGAAGCAGATGTGTAGCAAATATCCATGAAAGCGAGATTTCCAAGGAAAAAGTACATGGGGGTTTGAAGGCATGAATCTAGGATAGTGATTAAGATAAGAGTGCTATTTCCCAGGAGGGTTATCAGATACATTACAAGGCTGAAGACGAAGAGAACAATCTCTAACTTTGGGTACCTAGAGAAACCCTCCAGGGAAAAAAAGCTCCAAACCGTGAGGTTTGCTCCCTGCATTTCCCTTTTTGCGCCTGTAGTTACTCCAGGATTATTCTCTTCATGTCACCTGAGAACACAGAGACAGATAAAGTATAATGTTCATTTAGTTAGGAAAACACTTTCAAACTTACCTTCACTATTATAAACACAATACGACCTACATACGAAGTTGATTCTGCCACAACAAAATTTACTAGAGAGTGAATTTGACAACGAGAGTTAACATATTAATATTTCATCTCAGCTCATAAGCCTATGCTGGACACACAGTAGGTTTTCGGTAAAGATCTGAAAGTACCGAATGATGAAAAATATGAGTGAACTTTGAATAAATTATTGAGCACAAGTTAGAAGAGTAAGCCAGATAATCGAGGAAAAGCAAGCACATTTGTACAATAAAAGCCAGTCGTGATCTTCACTGGAACAAGAGGAGGAATGTTGAGAGAAACAAGCAAATGAATTTTAAACTAACGCCTACAACGTTCTGGGTGTAAATGAACTCCGTCCTTTCCGACTAACTGCTTGGAGGTCTATATACTTGCTTCAGAAATGATGACACTGTTTGGAGCATTGTAGATACCTGTTTTGATTATATTTAAGAGCCAGATTACAAGGCACACAAAAGAGCCCACCTCATTTAAATAGTGATGCAGCCACTATGTACAGTTTCATTCATTGCTGAGACCCATCCCTTCGTGAGTGTGCAAATAGATCTAAAAATTACACCCAGGCAACACTCCTAGTCTACGTTAAAGCTCATGAAGGTCCATGAAATGCAGAAACTAAACTCCCTGCTTAAATTATCTTAAAATCTCTTTGAAAAGATTATAGATCACCTAATTATGAACAAGGCACTTACGGTTTTATTTATTTACATTTCACACGGTTAACAAAACAATTTACGACAACTTACCTTGCTTTTGCAATGACATTGCTCTTTGATATTTTTCCTTTCCCCACTAGTTCTTTCCTTTCTGTCTTTAAATATACTTGTTCTTAAAAACCCCCTTCATTGTCACGCAGCCTACACAGGCAAACTGCCGTCCTATTTTCGCTCTTCCTGTCATAGACAAATTCTTCAATTACATGGTTTAGCTTAATATTTCAGTCTTCACTTTCTCATCACTGGCATTTTATTCCTGTTTCTCTATTTCGATCAATGTTATCCTTTGCCTCCCAGGTCTCCATGTTTTGAAAGTGGCATGGACGGTGATGGTAGAAATGTCGTCGCGGGCGATACCTTATGTCTCCCCCTGCGTAGTGGCCCAGGGAACACTTGTCAGTGTTGCTTCCCCTGCGGTACTTGGGCAGCAGAGTCCTTGCTTTTCTTGCTAAGAGCACCGTTTTTCTACATCACAGGAGTTACTTCTTATTTATTTGTTAAATTATTTCTTAGAGATTTCTCTGCCAAATTTTATATCTAACAAATTCTCTACAAAAATCTTATTATACTATTGCAAGAGATTATTTTAAAGAAACTTACATTTTCTGTGCTGCTCTTAAGACTAGCAAAGAAAACACAATTTGCCCTGGCTGGGTGGCTCAGTTGGTTGGAGTGTCGTCTATATGCCAAACGCGAAGCACCCAATGTTTCTCACATCGAAGTCTCTCTCTCCCTCTCTCCCTTCTTCTCTCTCTCAAATCAACAAAAACATCCTCAGGTGAGGATTTAAAAAAAGAAAACACTATTTTTTTTTTTTTTAGAATGAAAAATCAGCCCAGTTGCCTGGGAATTGATATTTTCTATTGTTTAAAAATAGTGGCCAAGAAAAATTGGTCCTCTGACCTAAAGTCTCTGCCACCAACTCCACATACTGTTTTATGATGTACTTCATAAAGTTCACTAAGTGCAAGAAAGAATAAATGCATCCACGTCAAAAATGTTAAATGTACTACGTGGAAAATCAACAGTGCAATTCATTTCTTTCTAAAGTATTGACTGTTAGCTCCGTAACTAAAAATACCAAAGGGGAGCAACTGAAATACTGTGTAAATTTAAATCCTGTTTTGGGGAATACCTATTGTCCCTGAACAATTTAAAAGTTTAGCAGCTATATATTAAAGTGGTTTGAAACTTCAGATCCTTCAGGGATCGTGTCCCAAAGATCCAATTATATCAAGTTTTTTTAAAAGTTGAGACAAAGAGTGAACCACAGTTTCGCCAAAATAACTTCAAAGAACTCATAAAAACAAAGTCTTCCATTCCTCCCTGTCCATCCTCGCTATATCAAGACACTGGTACTTGGATGATTACAGTGTGGAACATTTAACAGTATATAGAGAAAAGATATCCCTAGGATTCTAAGATGTGTATTGTTTCATTTGTGAAACTACTCCCTAGTTTTCAGAGATCCAGGGAAGAAAATTTACTCTTTAAACCACTTGTCTCAACAAATAATCAGAATTGTTACTCAATATGCACATGTGGAGAGGGCCTTAAAGCAACAAACCCCCAGTAGCAACGAACACACCTAGCACCCAGATATTGCTTTCCAAATACAATTCTCAACTAAAAGAAAACCCAGCTCCTTCGAGAAATGGCTGATACCAAGGCTGGAGCAGGAAAAGGGCAGGATGGGGCACCTTTCCACACAGAATGTAAGGAGGCCTCAGAGAGTGATCAGGATAGTTCAAAGGGCCATAGATGCGCCCTCGATGAGGCCCATAGGCTAAGTCTGGGACTATTTTGAACATCAAAATAAATAATGGTAAAAATGGATTATAATCCACAGAATTAAATAAGAATGCATGAGTTCTTGAAAGGAGGG